ACCTAAGGCTACGCAAAACGTATTAATAATCGAATTAACTATTAATATAAATTATGTTTTCCGAGGACTATGAAAAAGGTCCTCGGAAGGTGTGTATGTCCTCGGAAGTAGGTATATATCTGTATTTTTGTCCTCGCAACATATAGCAATCCAAACACACACACACACACACACACACACACACACACACACACACACACACACACACAATATATTCATCTCTTACCTCCTTCACTGTATTGAGTAATACACATTGTAATAAAATCTGCCATGTTGTTCTCCAATGCCACTGTAAGCAGGGACTCACGTTGCATTTGCTGTAATAAATCAAAGAAACAATCAAATTATTACCTTTAATGAGCATCATTACTTATGGTAACATACTAACACATTAATTTCATTTATCATTGATTCAATCACGAATAGAATTAATTTTATGTTATGCTTTGTATAAAGATTTGAGCCAATTTAAAAAATGATGCTTATAGTTCATTTTTTGGTGTCATGATTTTTTACTCTCCCCCTTCTTTGCAATTTTAAGATCTGTGAAACTTATTGAGTGTATATCATGAAATATGTTTATTTCATAAACAATTCTACAATTGAACTGAGGCACTTTAAGACTTTTAGCCAAGTTTGATACACATGTACATGTAGAGATTAACAAATCTTGACTCCCTGTATCCCAGATTCACTTACCACTGACATGGTGGCTGCTGGCTGATCAATTGTCCTTGGAAGGAGTCCCATTACCCAACATAAATTGAAGTATTCCTGCGGCTCTCGAAGCACCACGGCACCGTGTCGGTTGATGTCTGCCAATACCTGATAAAAGTAATACACAGTATGATTAGTATACATATTACAATACTGTGAAATACTTTATTTTCGCTTGGAATTAGTTTTTGCTATTTTCGCTGAAGGAATAATTAAGTGAAAATAAAATCCAGCGAAAATACCTTTTTTCCTATATTTCCCATTCAACTCGTCAAAAATCAGTGAAAATAAATTTCATACAAAACACCCAAAACGTCTTTTCAGCGAAAATTAATTCCAGCTAAAATAAAGTATTTTACAGTACCCAACTTTTTTGGCCATTATTAATAGGAAAAAAAAAAAAAGAGTTAAAATAACATGATACAGTCTGAACTCATTGGAATGAGATTAAAGTGTTCCTACCTAGAAGCAATACACAGAAAGACTAAGTAATCAACAGAACATTCTTACCTGTCGTTGTGCACCGAGATACTGAGATGTTACTACGCCGGTCTCCATAAGACAAGTTGCTGTAAAACTAAAAGATGATGGGTACAAGTGTTGTTCATGCGCTGGAGTCGCACAGGAATAAAACTTTGATACCTGGTATGGATTAATAAAAACATCCTGCAAGAGAATGGATAAAGAATATTTAGTTGATGACATTGATAAACCAGGGTAACCACCTCCAATAGACTTTACAAGTTCTCGGACTGCTAAGCATACTCTATATTTCTGGATAATTTCATTACTAGTTGTTCATGAGTAAATTTGCTGCAGTTTTTCATACGTTCGCACTACAGAAATGCATTGCACCATAATCTATTTACGGATATCAACTTTCCTGCCTTGTGTGCTTGTTTGAAGATAAAATAGATACATAAGTGTAAACTCTCAAATTTATAATAAAGCATAAAACTGAACATTTGTGTCTTGTAAACAGAGGCAGCCAATCATGGCTACTGCCAAAATGCAACATTTTGCTGAAACAGCAGTGCAAGACCAAAAATCAATTGTTGTATATCTCCAGAATACGAGGAAACAAGGCATTCAATTTCTAGTGACTGTCAATTTAAAGGAAAGCACTCAATGATCATTATAATTAATTAAATGTTGGGCGAGTATTCAGCATTTTATTAATATATTGTTACTTCAAATGGCACCTTATCCACGTTTTGTTCAGCCAAAGTGACACTTCCTAGAAATAAAATCTACAAATTAAAATCTAAATCTACACATAAAACAATTGATTCAAGTCACAAAACAAAACAAAAAAATGGCTACCATTCAATCAAAGGTCATCAAAATGCAAAACAAACTGGTACACATATTTCATTATGTCTCGTTTTTGTAACTTTATTTTTTAACAAAAGAAAAAAAAAAACGTCTTAAAGGCACTAATAAAAAAACTTCTTACCAGAAGAACATCTGGAGCAGCAGTTTCCATGACACTCTCAAGTGAGCAGAAGGAGAAATATGGACACACATCGTGTGATTCTTGTGATCCGCTGTAAGAATAATTGATGGGAATCAACAGATTAAATTATTTATCAGCGCCTTAAAGAGATTTTATTTTTCATTTACTGTAAAATACTTTATTTTAGCTGGAATTGATTTTAGCTGGAATTGATTTTCGCAGAAAAGACTTTTTGGGTGTTTTGTATGGAATTTATTTTCACTGAATCATTCCTTCAGCAAAAATAGCGAAAATAAAGAATTAGCCAGTACATTACAACCTGCGTATATAAGAGTATAAGGCAGTCATATACTTACTCACTTGGGGGTCAGAATGAAAAATGTTTAAAATTTTTGAAAGTTTGTTTATGAATTGTAAAATTTTCAAATGGTTTGATTTTGGAGATTTTGTTGTAATCTGCCATTGGTGGCGCTGTTGCAAGATACTGAAGTACAAGCTCTGAGATTATACAGACAAAAAAACCTTTCCAAAACATGAATCAAAGATCCCATTTAACATCAAATCATTTCTACAGGATAAAAACAAATTTGCTTTTAGCTTTCGAAGTCTAAAAACCTAGCCACCCCAAGATTTTCTCTTCAAAGATCTTTTTAGAGGGTCTGGTCTAACAAGTGCAATAACATATGATATTACCCAATATTCACACTGAATGGACACAATATAAATAACGTCACTTACTTGACAGAGACCGGCATCTGAGCATGGTAATATCTATTCAAATCAAACACTGCTAAAAAACAACAGGTCTGAGAACCTGGACCACCAGAGGGCGCTTCCCAGGCAAACAATACCAGACTGAGATCATTGTGGGAGACGGTTCCTGTGGCAGAGAAAAATTGGATGTCGTCATAGAATATGTAGCAGTGCACTGCACAGACGTTAATTCCAAAGAATGAGTGAGCCTGTTGTAAATATTCATGGTCTGATTATTAAAGAGCGGTGCTCGTCCCGCTGCGCATGTGCGACATTTGTGTTGATAAACACTAATTTTCCCACAATCCAATGCGCTCTTCTAATGGAAATCACAAGTATGAGGTTTGACCTGGGTGCCACTTGCACTAATTACCGTTGGTGACTGCTTTTCCATACTTTCCAATCACCTAAAAAAAACCTAATTGAAGCTTGGTAACGTCTAAGTTTGTATTCGTTGATCTGCGCAACAGTAAAGTCGCCATCTTTGTTTATATAAGACCCATATATTTCGCGCATGCGTGGTGCGACGACTACCATCCTTTAACACTTAGAGTGCAGAATTTGTTTCATATTTTCGTTTCATTATTTAAATCAAAACCTGGAGCCAGTAGGAAATTATGTCCATTTGGTTCTAGGGTAAATTACAAAATTTGGGTGTTCGAAGGGTTAAAACAATTTTTTTTTTTTCAAATGTAAATTAGGTTTACAGATTATGATTTGCAATTAGAAACTTGTAACCTTTTCACCACCAGTTCCTTCTTTTCATCACAAATTCACAAAATAGTCCTGTTTATAGTATGCACTTTCCTTCAGAGGATTTTGAAAAAAAAATAGCAAACCTTTTTGAGTAAAAACTGAAAATTGACTCAAATTTTGTCTGTTGGCTCAAAATTAGGGTTCATTTCCAGAAATATTGATGAATATAAGGGAAACATGCAGAATAATTTGGGTGAGAAAGTCTGGTGGTGAAAAGGTTAATATGGTGTAAGATCATCGCTTACCGACTTCATCTGCAATGGAATCCTCATGTTTCACAGCATCAGGTGAAAATTCATTTTCCAGCGTACAACAGGTAAACAATCTGCTTCCAACTGAATTTGCATCGCCCATGCGATAGGGGTCAGCAGTTACCTCATGTCGAAATGACGGATTACACGACGCTAGAACCTAATCATTAAAGAAAACCTCAAATACTTTACTGCTCAATTTACTCTTAAAAGAAATGATAAATTGAAATTTCTCTGCGAGTAAAACTACGTAGCTACAGCTAAGTAACAAATCCACCTGTTTCATGACAAGGACATCTTTTGCATTAGTTGAACAAGTAACTGCAATTCATAGTTCCCATTATCTCTCAAATACATAAAACTTTAAGATAAACTATCAGTGCATATCAGAGCATTCACTAAAACAAAATGATCATCAGTCGGCCATTTAAAATGCGATCTGACCAACAAAATGATGTGCATCAAGGTCCCATAACATTCTATGTTACATACCAGATCCAGAATTACAGAAATGCTTGATTTTGATGAATTTTTAACATTATAATGGCCGCCATAATTGTTTTTTTTAATCTTCTTCACCGTTTATGTGTACAATGACTCATAATAAATACCATAACAACAAATGGATATAATTTGAATATAGCAATTATTATTATCATCATATGCGTTTTCCATGTTTGGGTCAAATAACAGATCGACGAATGAGGGCATGATTTCAGCACAAGTCGATTGGGCCCGACTAATGTGAAAGCAAATGCTTTAATCCCTCTCCAAACATGGAGAACTAAAAATCGGCACTTGCTGAGATCCCGTAACGAGAAAGTAGCAATTATGTATAAAATCGATCAGCATTCAAAATGGGCGACTGATGAACAGTATTAGGAACAGTTGCAGGGATGGTGACAGAGAATTAAATACTATTTGAGGGGGAAAAAAAAGCTGCTTGGCTCTCAAAGCTGCTGTCACTATCAAAAAGATCTTGGCGGCTATTTGCAAATAATATCTATTGTGAACTGGGCAAATCCATTCATACACATGTACATTTTATGAATTAACACTAATACAGATATAAGGGTTGATATTGAATGCCTGTTAAATTCTTTGTTTAATATTTATCATCAAAATTTACATAATTTGAATTACCTTATAGAGATGTCCATGACCATCATGCATTTCCCTTTCTCCAAAGACTAATTGGAACATATAAAGTGACACCGGAGACTCTTGACTAAAACAAACAGAATGATGATAGTAAAATATCTAAACTAAGTTTGCAGATATTTAACCCTTTTACTGTACACAAAAACTTTTATCTTATTGGGAAATAATATTTATTATAATATTACTTTAAAATGACTAATTTTCCCTGGGTTTAAATTTCACTGATTTACCATTTCAGGCATATTCAGTGGGTTTTAAATTCACGGTTTCGTCATTTAGATAATGTGTTCTATGCTAAATTTTACATATTCACTGTGTTTTAATTTAGCGCATTTTTCCAGTCAGCGAAATAAGCTAAATTAAAACCCAGTGAATAATTACCCCCTTTACAGTATGCAAGTCATCCAATGTTTCACATTCAACAAAGTAACGTGACGAGGCAAATATTTACGAGCTGTAGTTTTGTGAAAACCATGCAAATGAGGTCATGGAGACCGTAATATCATTACATGATTTGGAAAAAGTCGCTAACACGCATTTGAACTTCCGAAGATTTTACAGGAATGTGTGTTTTGTCAGCAAATTAGAGGTTTTTATTTCAGCGCGATCCACTATAGGTAATTTTTATTGGAGATAATTTGTTTTTATTTAGATCATAGCAAAATATTATAACGCAAGTCATCCGATGTTTTACAAGGTGACACAAAAATGTACAATTATGGCCCGTAAATTTTTGATGAATAAGCCAACACATCATTTACGCGACACCAAGAAACAGTTCATGCAGATTGTATTTACCTTTAAGTCATAAACTGAGCTCATGAACATTTTTGCATAAATTTACATATAGTGCAGAGCTCCCTGGCTTCAATTTAGATAGGTTTCAAGGTTTAATACACAGAGTTCAGTTTAGACAGATTTCAAGTTAAGACAGGGTACAGTTTAGAATTGTCTCTAGTTTAAACAATAGGTTTCTATTTTTAATACACAGCGTTCAGTTTACACAGGTTTTCAGTTTACATAGGGATTAGTATAGATAGATTCTAGTGCATTAGAAATGTAGCTTACCATGGATCAGAAGGTCTTGGTCCTTTACACACCCACAGATAACAAAAGTATCTTGGATCATCATGGGGTTCTTGATAAGCAAAGTGAGTTAACGGTGATGTAAATCTTTCAAGTGGACTGGAATATCTTTAAAAATACAAATAATTATCATTAACAAATGCATCATTCTTCCGCACTAAATGTTTCATATATCGATTCACAAATGATTACAGCATTTTTCATCAAATACAAAACATTTTGCACATTTGTACATAGTTTTTTAAAGAATTTGTTTTTTGCTTTTAGATGAAAAACAGACAATTTCCTACTGGCTACAGGTATTCGGCAAAACCTTTAAAAACAAAATTATGCAGATTTGGTGAAATTTATTTAGTGAAATTTGACTTTGGTGCTCAAAGGGTTAATTATCCACAGAAACCAACTTAGGAGAGTTAAAATTATTTGGAACTTCTTGTCAGGAAATATATCATGATGCATCGTGGGCATAAATCCCAGTGACAGTGCATTGTGGGTGTTTTAAGAAGCCATATTTGTTTTTAATTCACTTACTCCAACACTGGTCCAACCATTCTCCACAGTTGAAAACACCCAAAGCTGTAACCCACAGTTAGTGTGCCAGTTTGTTTGATAAAACGTAACGCTGTCACGGCCACTTCTGAGGCATAAAAGGATCGAATCACAGTACCACCTGGCTCGCAAAAGTTAAACGAACTTCTCTTATGGGTGCTTTCTGCATACAAGAACAATCACAGAATAAATTATATGTCATAGAATAATTTTATGCATGACCCGTATAGGTCACACTTCCTGGTTATTTTCTTAGGGGTAATGTCTGTACGGTAACACCAAAAATATCCAATAATAAATTAAATATGACATACTACGATAAATTGTTTTTTGAACTTCAAAAACAACATCTTGCATTTATGAATCTATCCAATAACAAGTCATTGTCAATGACACGTCCCCGTTCCGTTCATATTTGAGTGACATATACATTCAAAGCAGATCATGACCGAAATGCACCTGCATATGTACAACACATTGTGCTAAATCTGAACAAAATCCATCCATGCATGACTGAGATCCGGTTCTGGAATTGTGAAAATACGTGATTTTGATGCATTTTCGGCCTTAAAATGGCCATCATTCCGCTATTGTTAAGCAGATCATGAAACAAATGCACATATCTATTTGTGACATGATGTACCATGTGTGTGTGAAGTTTGAACTTGATCAATCCAGACATGTCTTGGATACGAATCCAGAACTGAATTCTTTAA